GTATTTATCTAGTCTGTCTTCCAGTCTATTATATTTTTAATGTAAGGCTCTGTACTTCATCAAAGAAATCTTAGGCACTAACATTAGAAGTTTATTATATATTAAAAGATGTACATGTATTCCTTGTTATACCAACTCTGTTCCAATGGTTGACCAGACAGAAAGCAAATGGTAGGAGGTAGGAAATGCAGAGTTAAGCTTTAGTAATTGAAAAATTGTTCTACCACGTCATTATTCTACAGTAGAGAAGGAAAAAAGATGTCTATTTAGAAATTTGATGGAAACTCTTGGAATTTGCTGGAAAAAACGTCTTTCCAGTTTCCAAACTTAGAAAGTTTCTCAAACTTCTTTCAATATTGAAGGGAAGTGCAGGTTCTATGAACTAACAGTTAAGAATAATTTTGGAATAAATTTAAAGTCTAAAAGCAGAGATGAATAGAAGACAGTGAGATATATATTATGCAGAGTTCTGAGGAAAAAGAGGCGGTGAATGATTAAGCAAGTTACATACAGAAATGAAGAAATGCAAAAACTTAACATGAACTGAAGCATAAAGGAACTGTCAGAAAGTGAAAGGAAGAGAATAAAATAACACAAGACTCCTCTGTGGACATTGACTTGCGTTAAGGGAGCACTGTTGATAGAAGATAGATATCTGTCTTAATGTATAGTTTAGGGAACTGGATGTTCGCTTTAAATGTTAAATGTATTAGTCAAAGTTGGATTTGTTAATAAATAAAGTTAAAAATGCAGAGCTGCTCTCTACTCTTTTTGCCTTGATTTAATCCTATTCTATTCTACATAGTTCTTACATTATACTTATCATGGTAATCTCTGAATTCTTTCTGGTGCGTTACGTGATGTGACCAAAATTTGGAATGGAATGTTCTGTCATCCTCTCAGGGAGAGACGCATGTGGACTGGAGTGTCTTATTTTGATGATGATCTTATTAAAATGATGAACAAGAGAGGTGAATAAGCTTCCCCAAGCAACCTTAATTATGGCATGTTCTAACTTCTCAGTGCTTGGCTGTTTAACCTGAATGATCTTTTAACATAGTGTTTTGTGCATAGTTTTCTAATATTTTTAGAAAAGTAAGCAGGCATTCATTTTATTATGTTCCATCATGTTGACATGTTTATCCACAGGACTGGGACTTTTAAATCTACTGCATAGAGCATTGGCTGTTGAGCCAATACAGTAATTATATCAAAATTAGGTTCTCATTCTCTGCATGGACCAGCAGGAGAGAGGGATGAAACAAGTTTTCAGTAGATTTCTGATAGCAGAACAAAGGAGGAGCTTAGGAACCTTGGGTTCCATTTCAGGCTCTGGCAGGGAGTGTTCTCTGATGCTCAGAGAGACTTGTGTCATGTTCCCCAAGCCTCATACTGTTCAGACTCCTTGTCAAAGTCCTGTCTCCTCCTTCACACAAGCTCTTTATCCTATTTTTTTTGCCCAAATAGTATAGTATAATTCGTCTTCCAAACTCAGTATCCTATACTCTCCCTATTTCCCTATTCCAGTTTCCATCCCTTAGCTCTCTGTGAGTGTGTCTACATGTGCATTTATGCTGGTTTAAATTTACTGCGCAGTAAGTTACAGTGCAGTAAGTGGGAATGGACTGGCATCTACACGTGCAGGTATTAAAGCGTATGAATGCTGTGTGTTGATTGACTTGGGACTACAGTTAGGCATCTATACTTGCGTTACTATGCAGTAACTAATCAGGCGTAAATTTGATACCTGCATGATGCAGGTATCAAATTTATGCTCAAGTCAGCATAATTTGCCATATTTACTGTGCAGTACAGGCATGCACGTGTAGACATGCACGCCTATGCTGTGCAGTAATTTTGGTTACTGAGTAGTAAATGCAGACGTATAAATGCACCGTACCATTTACTCACTCTCTTGTCATCTTCCAGTGCCTTTCTCTCTATAAACTTGTTGTCCCAATCCACTCCCTTTCCTACCATCCCACAGAGACGATTCTTGTCCCCTCTACATTTGAGTCAGGGTGCCTTCTCCTAAATGCTTCCTGGGTTCAGCATGGTGAATGCAGGAGATAGTTTCCCTTCTCTTAGCTGCAGTCACCAGTACCACAATGGTTTATAGCAGATCTGAGCACGAACTGCAAGGGAAATCCCACTCAGCATGCACTTCTGGGCTGGATCATGCTCAACAGTTTTTCAATAATACAGTTTTTCAAACCTGGGAAAGTTATTATACTATTGCAGTTTATTGTTCTGCCCCATCTTACATGTTACTACATGATGACATGTTGCTAATTCACCATTAAGTTCAGTCACAGTGAAGTTTGACAACACATAATGGCAAGAAAAAGTCTTCAAACATAAAATTAAGAATGGTTTTATTATATTGGGAGAGACTTTGTATTAAACATAATGTTGGAATTCCTGGAACGCATTATTATTGGCTTGCCCCTGGGGCGGAGCAGCAAGGCAGCAGGAGGGTGGCTGGGTGTGCTGGTGGTGGGAAAAGGTGGTAGGGATGGCGCATGGGATGCTGGAAGCCTGCCAAGGCATGTCAGCACCCTTGCACTTTGTTACATAGCAAACTAAAACGCCTTGGATGGGTTTTTACCTTGCTACATAACAAAGTCATTTAAAGTGGAATATGCTGCTGAGTGTGTAAACAGCAATGCCGTTAAAGCAGAACATGCTGCCGAGAGTGTAAATAGCAACGCTAGTAAAGCAGTGCAAAAGGGCAATTAAGCCACTTTAAAGGCCAGTTTTGTTGCATGTACAAAGGCCCATAGATTGAGAAGTGGTAGACTAGATCAGTGATTGTCAACCAGGGTGCCATGGTGCCTCAGGATCCCACATAAATGTTGATAACACTGTTAGGTAGACAAACATGATTTGCAAAATAAAACCAGAGATTTCAAATAGGAATACACAGTGCTAAGATCGTTCTGACCTGTTGTGGACTTCCTGAGTTCTTTGCAGCAGACGAATTGCTCTGTTATGTTTCTATAATCATAAATGAGTGAAAACATTTTCCAAGGGGTGCCTTGAGTCTAAAAATGTTGGTCCAAAATTTCAACATGAGGAAAGCATACCTGCATAGAGTCCTAGAATTAAAATCAACATGCAAGACAAAATGTTTTCTTTTGACATTACCTCTATGTCAAACAGTCTTCACAGAAAGCAACCAGTCATCACTTGTTTGAGCAAGTTCTGGAAATAAGGTTCCCAGATCCAGGGGAAAGACAGATTTTGTTAAGTATATATTATAAATGTATTAATTTATTCAATGTATATGCTGTCCTTCCCAATAAAGGGTCAGGGCAGCTGACAATAAGAGAACAAAATAACTTCTATAAAACAGGAGAATGACCAAGAGAACAAAACAACTTAAAATGCAGTTAGAGTAGCAGCATAAAACAGAAATTGCCTAACAGTATCCCAGCCTAACTCTGTTTGGTAAACACTTGTCTAAACAGGAAACTCTTACAGTGCTTTTGAAAGATGTTCAGGCTCTAGTTCTGGTGGACCTCAAGAGGGAAGGAGTTCCAGAGCTGAGGATCCTGAAGGTTGCTGAGCTTAGGGATTGAGGTGAGGCATAAAGAAGGTACATATGTACCTTGGGTGCATATGTCTTAGACCATATAGGGCCTTATAGGTCAACACCAATACCTTGAATTTTGCTTGAGAAAATTTTGGGGAGCTAGTGCAGCCACTGGAGGACTGGAGTTATGTGCTCCAGGTGACCCACCCCTGTCAGAGGGCAGGCCACTACATTCTGCACCAGCTGGAGCTTCTGGATGGTCATCAAGGCAGCCCTGCATAGGGCACATTGTAATAGTCTAACCTTGAGGTTGCAAAGGCATGGATCATAGCGGCCAGATCTGAATCTGAAAGAAAGGGTTGTGGCCTTCTCACCAGATGGGAGTTTGTGAAAGGCACTTCTAGCCACGGTTGCCATCTGAAGATCCAGGCATAGCAGAGGATCCAGGAGCTATGAACCTGAGAGACAAGGGGAAGCTGAATTCCTTCAATTAGAGGTGTCCTAGGTCAGATATGAGAAAGAGAGAGAGAGTTGGGTAATCTCTGTACATCTTTCCGATTCATAGCATGTGACAAAGCAGGCTGTTGAAAAGTTGTGTCTCTTGAACCCATTTAGTTTTTAACGGCACTGACAGACGTGCAGCTCCCCGTTGTAACTCACAGTGCTACATGTGAAGCACCATGAGTTGCAGCAACCCCCCAACCCAACAGACATTCACTTGAGTCAAGGGTGGGGTGGTAGAAATTGAGCTCTACCTTGGAGGATATCAGTGCTAAAGAACAGACCCTAAAGATGGCTCCAAAAGCCAGCAAGCCATACAACCTCAACAAAAGCAGCAGCTTTTTTGCCATTTTTTCCCCAATATGCCCATTTAACTTCAATTGAAATGGAGAGATGAAAATGCCAATTTTTCCCATAGCATATATAATACTTATTAATAGTGCATAGTGCATTATATTCAAAGTGAAACCTGTAGGGAGTATTTTCAATATATATTTTCAGTTATTGAATTTTATTACCTATAAGATTACATTGTACCTATGCAATTTGAAACAGAAATTTGAACTCCCACCAAGCCCAAAAGGTTAGGATTTAATACCAGACAATAAGCCTGTACTAAGCAGTAAAATAAGCTCCAAAAATAGGTTTTATTAACATACAAAAAAAAGAGTAAGGAAAATTGACATTGTAATAAAAACATTTGTTTTCTTCTACAAACAAGCAATACAAGGTATAAAACATACAAATATTTTTTCAGCTCCTTAAAAATGAATAAGCTGATGCAGAGGACAGACTCTTCTGAAACAAAAACTATTTTGGCAATATCCTTTAGTCTCTTACCAAGAACTTGGGTCATAAATTGCATGTACATTATTGATTTTTTTTTTTTTTTTTTTT